TTTTGGTTTGTTTATATGATGGATTACATTGATGGATTTTCCTATGAACCATCCCTGCATTCCTGGGATGAAGCCTACTTGGTCATGGTGGATGATTTCTCTGATGTATTCTTGGATTTGATTTGCCAGTGTTTTATTGGTTATTTTTGCATCAATGTTCATGAGGGATATTGGTCTGTAGTTCTCTTTCTTCATTGTGTCTTTGTGTATCTTGGATGAAAAGGTAATTGTAGCCTTGTAAAAAAAAAAAGTTTGTCCATGACCCTTCTGCTTCCATTGTGTGGAACACTTTAGGGAATATTGGTATTAGCTATTCTTTGAATTTCTGGTAGAATTTTGCACTGAATTCATATGGCTCTGGGCTTTTTTTTGGTTGGGAGACTTTTGATGAATGCTTCTATTTCATTAGGGGCTAGAGGTCTATTTAAATTGTTTATCTGTTCTTGATTTAATTTTGGTAAGTGATATCTATCCAGAAAACTGTCTATTTCCATTAAATTATTAAATATTGTGGAGCACAGGTTTTCAAAGTATCACCTGAAGATTCTCTGGATATCCTCAGTATACATTGTTAAATCCCCCTTTTCATTTCTGATGTTGTTAATTTTCATGTTCTCTCTTGTCTTTTGGTTATTTTGGATACGCATTTGTCTATCTTGTTGATTTTCATGATTTTATTCTTTGTATTGTTACCTAGTTTCTACTTTATTGATTTCAGCCCTCAATTTGATTATTTCCTTGCATCTACTCCTCAGTAGTAAGTTTTTTTTGTTTTGTTTTTGTTTTTTGTTTTGTTTTGTTTTGTTTTGTTTCCTAGAGCTTTCAGTTGTGCTGTTAATTCTCTAGTGTGGCTATCCTCCGTTTTCTTCATGTGGGCATTTAGTGCTATAAACTTTCCTCTTAGCATTTCTTTCAAAGTGCCCCATAAGTTTGGATATGTTGTGTCTTAATTCTCATTGAATTCTAGGAAGTCTTTAATTACTTTCTTTATTTCTACATGACCCAGTAATGGTTCTATTGCACACTGTTCAATTTCCGTTAATTTGTAGGGTTTCTGCAATTCATGTTGTTGTTGAATTCTAACTTTAAAGCTTGGTGGTCTGCTAAGATACAGGGGGTTTTCCAAATGTTTTATACTTATTGAGGTTTCTATATTGCTGACTATATGGTTGATTTTAGAGAAGGTTCCATGTGGTGCTGAGAAGAATGTATATTCTTTTGTGTTTGGATGAAATGTTCTTTAAATGTCTGTTAAACCCAACTGTGTCATGATTTCTGTTAGTTCCTTTGTTTCTTTATTAAGTTTCTTATCTGGTGGACCTGTCTAGCTATTTTTTTGGGTTGCTCTCTTCTGCTTCATCTGTGTGGGATGTTCAGGTCTTAGAGGTGTGGAGTCTCTAGACTCTGGTGGTCATATTGATCTTTCTATTGTAGACTGTGTTCTTATACAGTCATCTACCCATCCCTTCTTCCAGTGTGTACTGGTATGGACTCCCTCTCTCCTGGTGGGTATGGGAACAAAGTTATTTTCCTGTAGGTGAAAGTAGGTCCAATACTCCAATGGCTTTCCTCTTCCAGTGGGCAGTGGTGGGACTCCTCCCATGGTATAGTTGGGATCAGGATGCTGGCAGACTTAGGATGGGTGGGTGGGTTCAGCATGGTGGGCTCCCCTGAATGCAGTCCCCAGTCCTCAGGGGGCTTATAGCAGGGCAGCAAAAGTTGGGCTCCTTCCAAGTGTGGAGGTAGGACCAGGTGCTGTCAGACTCTGGATGGGCCGGTCTGTTTGGATGGGGTTGTCTGATTGGATGGGCTCCCCTGCATGTAGTCCCCAGTCCTGAGGGTGATCCACCAAGGAGAGCCCTGGAAAGCAGCCATAAGGTTGTTTTTCAGGTCATTTTCTTCTGCTTCATCTCCGTTTGGATGTTCAGGTCTTGCTGGTGTACAACCTCTAGAGTCTGGTGGTGTCATATGACTTTTTATGTTTTTGAATGTGTTCTTATACTGTTGTCTTCCCATCTCTTCTTCCAGTGGGTGCAGGTGGGGCCTCTCCTGGTAGGTGTAGGGCCACGGCTGAGATAGCAGCAGATATTGGATGGTTTGGTCTTCCCCCAGGTTTCTGGGGATTTAGTGGTGGGATGGGGCCTAGCCAAGGGCCTCCAAAGAGTGAGGGAACAGGGCAGGGGAAGGTCCACCACTCACCTATCTCAGTGGGTACTATGCCAAGGGTCCAGTGGGGCAGATGCTGGATGGTTATTCAGCTCCCATGTCTCTGGGATTCAGTGGGTAGGCTCTGGCTCCAGTTAAGGGCCTCTAAACAGGGGGGATGGCAGCAGAAGAAAGCCTAGCTCTCACCTCTCAGTGAGTATTGTATATAGGCTTCAATGGCAACAGATACTGAATGGTTTCCTCCGATCCCATGTCTCTAGGGATTCGGGGGGCAGGCTCATAACATTCTAAATAATTGTTTTTATTCCAACAGTTATAATTAGTTCTCACTTATCAAAGAATTATCTGTTTGTAGCAGATAAAGAACATTACAGAAATGTACAAGTGGTTAAAATACAGAGAAATACTGATCTTCGGGTGTGCAGTCTCAACTAACAATCTGCAATGCAACTACTACATCTAAGGTTCAACAGAAATAATGTAAGAATCAAAATGTCTGTTGTGAGAGTGGGACTTCTGTATATGAGAGGAAAATACAACCCATGAAATCTCAGCCACATGGACATACCTTAACAAGACATACACAACAAGAACACCAGTTGTCATGCCAATGTGGCTAGGGAAGGACCTAATCTTGGTTAAAAAGCTATAGGTAAAGAGTGGCAAAGAGAAGGAAAATTAGTTTTCTCCAGTGATGAGCTTCCTAATAGGTAATTCTATTCAAATGCGCCAAATAAATACACAAGTAAGCAGACAATTAAATACACACACACACACACACACACACAGGTGTACATATAACAATAATTTATAAAAGAATTAATGAATTAGAGAAAAGTATGCATCGGAGATGTTACAGGGACAAACAGAAATTAAAAAAATATAGTACTCATATGAATATCTCAAGAATTTAATTTTGAAAAGAAATGTTTACAAGGCAAATGCTTGATTCCCTAAAAATATTTCCTCAGGTCATTTCAGGATTGGGCAGGAGGATCTGTGAACACTAGGGCCAGAGTAGGTGCTATTTGGTTTCAAGTATAAGCAAGTCTTTTCTAACAAAATTTCCCATCAAACTATAGACAATAGAAACTTCAGCAAAGTCATGTGCTATTTTCATAGTTCTTGATAGACAAGCAGGGTCTACACTGTCTAGTGTCATACAGTGTATCTCTTGAGAGGGTTTCTACACTCTAGGTATTACTGGCAGTAATTGTTCAGTAAATTATAATAGAAAATGTTACAGACTAAGCGAATTATCAAAAGTTTATTTGCTGCTGGTTTTTTTTTTAGATTCTGCAATCTTAACAAGCATTTTAAGATGAATTTAAGATTAAGGTTAATCTCAGGCAAGCATACACAGAATTTTCCAAATATTTTTGTAAAGAAAATCCTCTTTACAGAGCATCTCACACTTGAGATCTCTTGACATTCTTGTATGATACACTATGAATGTGGGTTAATTGGAGCAATGACTCAAAATCAATCCTACAGAGAAGAGTTACACACATTCTGAAGCTGACATGCATGCGGCACTTTAAGCTGCTTTTCTGATGCTTAACTCTATTAAAACAATGAGATGCATCAATTTGATGGGACTGTGAAGAAATGACTTTGGAAATCCTGTTTGTTTTTAATGCTCCTGTTTCTAGTGTATGACATAAATTTCTTTAAAGTTCATCTTCTACCTGGTATTTTTCTACCATACCATGGAAAGGATTGCATAGAAGGTAAATTAACCAGAATACAATCAAGCAGTGGACCCTGTAATTTCTTGTCTACCAAAAACAATTCCATTGGGTGTCAGTGACTGCAAAGCTATGAGCAAATGGCTATCTTGTGAATTCATGACATAAAATTTGGATAGCAGATCAAGATATATATATATATATATATATATATATATATATATATATATATATATCCAGGTAAGAGCCTGAAAGATGAGAGAGAAGTAGGAAGTAGCTACCTCTTACGTCTTCCTACTGAAAGGGGAGGTTTTCTCTTTGATGTCTCCATTAAGAGATGGAGGGCTGTTGCCATTGTATACTATACTTATACTTAAGTTACATGGATTTTTATTCTGTCATGAATCACATTTGTAATTTCATAAACACATAAGAGAGAGGAAAAAAACCCTCTGTTGTACATAATCATTTTTTGTTACATGAGAATATCTATGTGTGTGATTATATTTTTTAAATCTGTAATGAGAATTGTCTGTATTTCAAACAATTACATTGTGGGTTTACTTGCAAATGAAACCTAGTGGCTTTAAATTTGATTGCAAAACATTCAAAAGTTCACATGACTGAGATAAGAAATACATAAGCAGTAAGAAGCCAGTTTCCCCAGCTTAGGGCCATTAACTAATTATGACTCACACTCTCTGTTACTTCAAAGATTATGTGAAGAAACAACAAACTCAAACGAATTGTGCAGTTTGGGAAAAACATAATTTTGCTCCTGTAATTTGACTTTTGGACTTGTACAACTTCATCAGAGTGAACTTTCACCTGTGTTATAAAACTGGTTTGTTTGCTTTTCCCCTTCCATTTTCTTGGGCACAACTGGATTTGCCTAATTTATTGATTTTTCTTTTTTGTTGCTGACAAGTTATTTAAGCCATAGGCAAACTACACTGTGCACTTGTTTCTCCGGGTCTTCCTTCTCTCCTTAATTTCTGCTTCCTGCGGAGTCAGCCACTGAACTCTGAACTTGCTCTTGTTACTAGTGTTCCCTGCCTGTGCACACAAACTCTGCTGCTGGCTGACGTCTCTGTGGAGCATTGTCCCTAGTTTTTCTTTGACAAGACTTGCTCTGTGCTGCACAGCTCAGTTCTTTTTTTTCAGTCTTTGGCTTTGCCGAATCACGAATATCTCCAGCTGGGAATCAGACAGGGACAGAAATGAAGAGCCCAGAAGTTCAAGACAATGTTTCTGTTTCTCAAGGTGTTCGAATGATGTTTTACATGATGACGCCAAGTGAAACTACCTTCCAAACGCTAGAAGTGGTGCCTGATTACGTTAAAAAGGTGAGGTTCTCTTGCCCCTTTCTTGCAATGTAAACTCAACATATCCTGTGGTTTAATTTAATTTCCTAATTCAAATTATTGCAGCCTCATAAAATCCCAATTTCTTACAGTCATGAAGTAAAGTATGTTTTTTAAGATAACTCAATTTCTATACAGTATCTATATCTTTGCAAATCCCCTCATACATCACTCTAGAATATGAGAAAAAAATTCAAGGTATTGCTGGGCATGGTGACATTGCAAGTTTAGTTATTGGGAAGCAATATTACGTAGTTTTATTACATCAGTAAGCACTGTAATAATTTTGTTTTAAAAATTTTACCTTGTTCATCACTTCCAGGAAGGTATTGCCTCTTAAATTTGGTAGACTAGTTCTGCAGAGTGAAGGATACACAGCTTGGCCCAGTATAATCCTGACTTCCTAAGTTTGAACTTGAACTATTAAAAAAAATTTTTCTAGCCCTTGAGGCATTTTTCACTCTGTTACTTGGCTTTGATTGGAAGTGGAAATATCCAGAATTAGAACCTGGACACTTATGTTCCACCCCCTCCAAAACTTGTTCCTGAAACACTTACTAGTTCAGACCAGAAATAGGGAAAAAATATATCACAGAATGTGTTCTAGTGAGTTCTGTTTAGAAAACATGAGACTTATTATCAGTTCCCAAATGAGTGAAGCCCATATTGCTTTTAACATTTGATAGTGCCATTTTTGTTCAGTGAAGAAAAAATGTGCCACCATTGTCTTCAGGAATTATTATTGTGTAGATTACAACATTAAATCAGTCCAATATGGACTGGTAAATATCAGTCCACAAAATCAAATCTGCATGACTGAAACCTTGATGGTGATACAGTCATAATAATTTATCTTACTTCTTAAGAGTCTTGGGTTTTATTCCTATTGATTTCATGTCATCATCAGAAGGAGTTCTAGAAAGTCTAATTTTTTTAAAACTCTAATTGAGTGTATTTTTTATTAAGGAGTTACCTGAGAGTAACTCTAACATGCTTATGGGCAGTTATAGGCTTAACTAATCTTAAATGTATTTTCTCAATCTTGGAGCATCACCTTCCTGACTTTAATTGTTCTCCTGGCATAATATTGGTACCTGTTTTTACGTTTTTATTTCATTTGAAAACTGCATGGTATTTTTGAACATGTTTTTAGTGTATATCTAAAATAACTAAATTTCCCTGCTCATTCCTTTGGAAATAATCCTGCCATATAAATATAGACCATCTCTTGCTGGTGTAGCTCTCCCCCCAAGGTATCAGAGAACCAATCAGAAAATGTGGAGGATTTTATAACAATAGCATCTCTTCCATGAAATCTCCTTTCTAGGCAACTCCATTTTTCATATCCTTGATACTGCTTGAACTAATCATCAGCTGGATTCTCAAGGGGAAGCCACCAGGTCGCCTTGATGATATTCTGACATCCATGTCAGCTGGTGTTGTGTCTCGGCTTCCAAGGTGAGTCACATAATTTAGAATACTAAATGAAGATCCACAATTCTGCAAATACAAAGCAGAGGAGAAATCATGTGGACACTTGATTATCTCTCTATAAATCCCTAAAGAAATTGGGATCTGTCATTCTTCAAATATTTTCTTATGTTTTTTAGTACTGACTTTTCACCTTGAACTTTTAATAGAGAAAGCTAAACATTGCTAGTCTTAATTACTCAGTTCCCCTCATATTTTACAGTTTTTAACCAAAGTGACTGCTTTACCTGCCTTACTGTAGACCTTGCTCTGAGTTTTTATCCAGGTCCCTGCTGGAAATTGTTTTGTTCTAGCCACATTTCCACAGATATCTCCTTAAACCTCAGATATTTCTCAATGAAATGTTACATAATTATAAATTTTTATATAACTACCAATCTTTCTTACTTTTGTCTCATGTCTATCCCACTGGTACCCAAATATGTTAATCACAGGGACAGGGACTAAGAGGAAACCCATTCCTACTTCTATATTTCCCTGGCATGAAGTAAAGTTTCATTCTCAAATCACATAAGGTTTAATTTCTCTATCCATTTTGTCATCTTTATCCTGCCATGGCACATCTCTCAGGTACTTCGTTGGGACTAGAAAGCCACCCATGTGGCTATCTCCAGTTCAGTTTTTAGTTTTTAATATGATCATAACTAGCAAAACCCATCTGTTTCCTATCCTTGATTTGGTAACCTCTGCTCCATATTCTGACTCTAGTGCTCACTCCAAACACACAATCATCCTTAACTTTCATGTACCTTGAAATCAATAGTTTTGTTCCTGTCAAAGTTTTAGTTCATATTCCTGGAATAATGTCTGGTACATAACAAGTACTCTGAAATAATTCACTTTGTAGTGGCATTCATGCTAATGATAAAACTGGATAATAAATAAATGGCTTACATTATAAACTGAATTCAGAAGTACAGAAGGAAAACACAACACTTGAACAGGAGGAAGAGTATGCTTGATATAGCCTCCCACCACTGCTTCCGACTAATATCTATGGCACTTCACTTCTGATACGAGCTCATCACTCTGGAATGTCTCTTGGAACCACACAGTGGGAAATCAAGGAGGAGTTTTAAAAAATGGCATTCAACCCAAAAACTATCTGAGAAGAAGTACATTAACTTAATATAACTTCATAATATGTTTGGGTAAATGTTAAAAGCATATATCAATGGGTATCTTTGAGTAAACTGGGCTATTAGGATTATAGTCATCAAATAATGAGTTGAATACCTGCAGGTGTGGTCCCACACTGATGTCAGAATTAATTGAAAGTTCTTCTTTTGAGTAAGTCTTACATTGTTTAAATAACAACTCAAATTATTGATGAATTTCTCTATTGTGTGGGTTCATGCATCAGAAATGAGCATGAGCCCCTTCCATACATATACATGTACATATACATATACATATACATATGCATATACATATACATATACAATCTCTGGTATAGATTTAGATACATATTTCTTTATTGAAGCAAATTCAGTTGGTTTATGCAGCTCATTCTGAAAGGATAATGTACTAAGAGTTCTTGGAAATCAATTGAAAATCATTAATAATCGAAAAGCGCCATCTACACAGGTGTAGATCTTACTGACTTGGAAAGGAACATTTTTGCACTTATTGCTTTGTTATTCAAGAACTTAGAGAGACATTACACTGAATTGATTCTTGTATTGTTTTTCTTTCTTTCTTTTTTTTTTTCAAGTTTTGTGTTGGTTATAAGTAAAGTCAAAGTGTCCCCTTCTAACATTTAACTGCTGGATACATAAACTTAATTCTCAGTACAGCATTTCCTCTCATCAATATGACTTATTATTTTACTAAGTTTGAGTAATGAAGCAAGATTCCAAATATACCCTTTTACAAAGTCAAAAGCAGATGCGCGTGCATGCGCACACGCTCTCTCTCTCTCTCTCTCTCTCTCTCACACACACACACACACACAGAATTTATTTGGCAATAGAATGGAAATTGAGGTACAAGGTGCAAAGGGGTTACTCTAAAGAAAGAGCAGAGAGGGAGGTAAGGAGAGAAAGAGAGAGAGACAAAGACAGAGACAGAGAGATAGATTTAAAATGGAGCAGATAATCAGTCTGTAAAGCAAATCCCTTCAGGAACACAAGGTGAAGTTCTGTTCCCTCACTCACTATATTTAAGACTCCTTAAGCTGAACAAACCTTCCAAATCTTTTAATTCTGGTTCTCTTTGAGGAGATGTACAACATTATTAATTTAAACTTATATAGAGTTTTTCTGCAGCTGTGTGTGTATAATTATAATTTAATTTAATACACTAATTATACTTGAATTATAATAAAAATTGCTGGTCTTCATTTCTTACCTGTGGGTTTTAAATTATTAATTATAAAATAATGGCCATTTAAAAAAATTTCAATAGTTTCTCAGTTTTCAATGCAGAGTATATGAAACAGCCCAAGTTAAAAAAAAAAATAAAAAAAAGAAAGAAAGAAAACCACAATGTGGACAGTACACTTAAATGTTCACTACTACTTTGAAATGAAAGCATAAACAAAAAAGGCAAACAGGTTCTCCAGATTCTCTCAACTCTGTCTCCTCACCGAAAATAGGAAAAAAGAAGAACAAAAGAAAGAAAGAGAGAAAGGAAGGAAGAAAAAGAAAACATTGAAAAGTAACTTAACATGAACTTCAACTAGAATTTCAGTTGAAGCTGCAGCATTCAAATGAATCCCTGTGCAAATTATTAGCAGCTGAGGGTTAGATTAACACGGCGTGGGTCCTTGCCTCTCCAAGGAATCGAGTTCATTCTCAGTACTAGTAACAGGGGCTTGCCACATCCTTAAAGTATGTAATTGCAAGAAAAACAATACTATACCATTAGTTAATCTGCTAGCAAAGAACTATGCTTAAGATAATAATTCCAGATAGCTTCTAACAAAATAGAGAAAAAAGCGAGCAGCTCTTTCCAGTTCTGCATTCTTTACAATAGAAGTGTTGTCTGGAGTCTTTGAGGAAAAAACAATTTTATTTGACAAACCTGATATTATGATTGCATACGATGTTAAATTATCTTTGAAAGTTAGTAGCTTGCTTCCTGTATCCACAGGACATGTTCTAAACCTTTTTTTTATGTAAAAGAAAATATTAACCATAGACAGCACTGTATCTTGTTTACAAGCATGTTAGGCAAATCTTCATCCATAATAAAAATCCATCTGCCTCACAACAGATTCTGGCCATTCATTTATTTGGTCTTTTTCAATGCAGTCTTCTAATCAGAACCCAGGACAGGAGTAGTAAAATGATGTTTCTACTGATTATAACAAACAAGACGTATCTTAGAGATAAATTATTTTTCTGTCAATTGTTTGCATATGTAACTATTTAAATTAAACTTGATTGAATGAAATGTGTGTCAAAAACTATGTTTTCAAAACATGATTTTCAAAATGCCACACTACTGACTAATATGTTAATGAGCAAAAAATGATCACATCTCCCCTGTTTAAGCAGAACTCCAGTCCTTCCTTAGAAATCCTGGACCTCTATTTGTTACTTCCTCCCTAAGTTACTGTTTCTTAAAACTGCATTCTCCCCAGAGAAGCTTTGTTCCTGATATAAATATAGATAGTATGTTTGCTTTTAGGGGTTCATTTATCCTGTTGAAACAGCAGATTATAAATCAAATTGCAATAGGTGGAAGGGATAATTTAAGTAGGTAAATTTTCAAATGATTTGGGGACACTCCACTCTTAACACTTAAGGGTCATGGCCAGATTTTACTAGTTCTGTAATGTTCATCCATAGGTACATAAAATTGCTGGCTATGCCTGCAATGGAATTTTCCATTCTGGATTAAAAAAAAAAAGTTCACAAAATAAAATTAAAAGGAGGAAATTAAACTTTTAAAAAACATTTTCAACTCCTTAGGGTGGGGCTAGCAAAAAATTTTTTTTAAAGTCTGTTACATCGATGACATTGCTTTCTGCAATAAATATAGCTCCATGGGTTCCCAGGCGGGACTTCTACACTTTTCAATAGAGTAGCACATTTTATTGTGAAGAATGTAACAAATGTATTTAACCATTATGGTTTAATGGTTGTTTTAAAGAAATGAGACAATTGTGTTATAAATGTAATGCAATTTTACAATAAGAAGTGGAAGAAACTGTTGTGACTATTTATAGAAAGTAGCAGTTGTATCATTTATCATAGCTGAGACATTGAAATGTCAATATTCCACTAGATGGAGCAAAAGTGGCAGGAGCTCTTCAGACAGACAGCCAGGATCTGAGGTCAATTATGAGAGGTTTTGAAATAAATATTTAGTCAATTTCTCAGAAAGAAATTAAGTCTAACACTCCAATATCTTTTAAGTACAGTGTGTGTGTGTGCTTGTGTGTGTGTGTGCTTGTGTGTGTGTGTGTGTGTGTGTGTGTGTATTTGTGTGATGCCATGCCACAATGTTCCTGTAGAGGTTGGGAGACAAACCTGTATGAATTATTTCACTCTTAACACCCTGGTCCAAATTTTACTGCATATTCCTAATGTGAAAAGCCACTGTTTGAAGAGAGCTCATGAACATTTTTGAGGGTTAAACAAAAGTCTTTTTGCAGACTGATCACTGCCCAGCATGTCCTAATGCCTCCTGACACTCAGATCATTTTTTGATCTCATCCACATTCCATGTGGAAGAAGATGAGTTTCTTACCATTATGATCTTGTGATTAAGTGAGACCCTAACATCTATGCATTAAGTTATGTATTTCTCTCCCCACTGAAAAGAAGTTTAGAGGGGTCAGGTTAAAATTCCAGAGCGCAGAGTCATACTCCAGGGCTTTGCAGATGAGGGTGGAGAAACTGGGAACAGAAAAAGGAAGGAGATCTGGTTTATGATTCTGCATCTGGTGGGAACAGTTTTGCAAATGTAGGTGCTATTTCCTGCCATCAAGGGCTTTCCAGAATTTGATAATCATTTCCCAGATGTATGGCCTGAGAAAATTGTTTTAGTTGTGGGTACTGAGTTCTTTCACATATATAGCGGAATAAGATCATGTTCCCTTTGTTGAGAGAAAGCAGGGAAGAAAACTCTCATACTTCTCTGCCCACTTGCCATGAACAAAGTTTGGCCTCTTGCTAAAGTGAGAAAAAGAGGACCGTCTGACACAGCGTACTAAGCATATTTTAGCTCAATTTGGGTCAGCCCTAATAACCCCCTTGAAAGAATAGTAGAATAGATGTCTGTTTAATACCTGACACACGTACAGGAAATAAGCATCACTTAATTTCAGTCAGCCGGCTCTCTGGGTTTCACAAAGTTTTACAGCATCTCTTTGATTGAAGTCTAGACAGTGTCTTAATCTTGTCTCACTTGTCCCTGAGAAAGAAGATAAAACCTTTAAGAACATAGTAAACTAATGAGTCAGATGATTATAGCCCATGTTCAACAATATGCTCTTGCACCTGGTGCTGTCCCTGAGACTGAGTGAGCTCCCCATGGAGTTAACAAATGACTGGTAAATATGTAGTTAATTCTAATTTGATACCTTGTAACAAAGCTTGCCTAGCAATCCTTAGAGTATGATGAACTTCTGTGGAGTTTTCTTTGCTTTAATTTTTCTTTCTAGTACTTTGAGTCAGTGGTTAGCAACTTGGGACACATTTGCCCATCAGGAAACATTTGGCAATGTCTGGAGACAGAGTTGGTTGTTACAGATGAAGAAGGGAGTGGCACTGCTGAACTTAAAGAGACAGTGGAGTGTTTTCTACAGTTTGTTTGGACCCAGGACATCTTTCCTAACAAAGAGTCATATCTGGCCCAAAGTGGCAGCAGTGTCATGGCTAAAAATCTCACTGTTGGAAAACTTAATAACTTGGACCATAAAAAATCCTTTGTTCAGCATTTCAACCTAAAAGGAAACTTGGTCTAAACACGTAAGTTCCCATCTTAGCTGGGTATCTTTAAACTAGAACTTATTTAAAACCCTTTCTTAATAAAGTTTTAAAAATTAGCTTACACATTTCCAATTCTTCATGCCTCTGAAATACCATGGATTATGGTTATTCTTACCCAGTGAGGATATCTGTCTTTAGATAACCCACACTGACATACAGCAATACTTTTCTATTTGTCTCAAACCAGCCACTCTTGAGCATCCAGCAAAGTCCGAGGAGTATGCAAAGTTGCAATTGCCTGACCCTGACTGCAGAAACCTTGCTTTAAGAATAGGAACCATAGAAGGCCTGCTACCCACTTGGGCCAGAAAACCTGCTCATAATGTGTGTGTGTGTGTGCTTGTAAAGTAAATGTGTGGGTGGTGCCTCCAGAGGCCAGAAGAGGGTTTCATATTCTTTCAAGCAGGAATATCACAGGAGGTTTTTAAACTAACTGACATCAGCGTTATGGACTGAATTAATGTTCCCTGAAAGAACAGGAAGTGTTCTTAACGATTAAACTATCTCTCTAGCTCTGTTTCTATGGTGTTTTAACTTGTTTATTTTGAGTAGATATATATGCCTTATTTCTGGTGGACAATTATTTCCTAATATTCTGAAAAGCCTACCACATATCTCTTATATGACTTACCTAAGATGTGTACCTAAAGTGTAACTTCACAGTAAAAGTAGGACTTGCACAAGATGGATAAAAAAAGAAGACAGAGAAAAGAGTAGAAGGAGTCACTTTAGACTAGTGCAGATTTTGTGGAATATCATATTAAATGACAGAAAGCAACTTTCAGGCTCCTTAGGAATCATTCCACATATAATTTTCAAACTTTCAGTCTCCTGTTGTCAGTCATTCTTGTTGTGTTCTTAATTAAAACTTGGAAATGACAATAACAGGAATTAAGGTGCAGTTTAGTAAGATTTCTTATGTATGAAATGTTTCATAAAAACTGTGTTAAGGGACACAAAAAGAGAAGAATCTCCCAAATTTCTTGTAATTGAGAGGGCAAATAACTGGTTCCAATATGCCTAGGAAACAAAAGACATTATCAGGGGGTAGTGTTCATGCTGGTGTAGGAAAACCAGACAAAGCAAGAAGCATCATGGTGGAATGATGACAGATGCCATCTTTAGATATGAATATATTTATACTGGACATCATCTAGAATGTATTAGCATGATCATGAATGCAGAATATGTTATAACCATCTCTGAATTTTGTGTGCCAGTTTGTTCTTCAGGAGCCTTGAAGTGACCAGCTATATTTATATCTGGGAGAACTATCGTCTTCTGGAGTTGCCTTGGGATTCTCAGTGGACATGGTATTTAACCTTCTTAGGAGTTGACTTTGGCTACTATTGGTTCCATCGCATGGCCCATGGTAAGTTACAAATGATATGTACTGTCAATGATGATTAAGTATGTTTAGTATGTAAGAGGCATTTTGTAAATATTTATTGAATGAATAAGCAAATCAATAGAAGAATAACTCTTGTAGCATGTGAAGATTGCTAATGAAGACTTTGAAATTTCAGCACATGCAATCTGCAGCCATTAAAAATAAAATTATTGCAGATGCAGTTTCCTCATTATTATAATTGTAATACATTTAGAAAATGATAGTGTTGCATTGCTTTTTAATGGGTTTCCATCCATTGTTAAGCTGTAGGTAATTATGCATTATATCAAACTTCATATCCCAATCATCACAGGTCATTCTGGAGAGTTCTAAAGCAGCATAAAAATCTAGGGAACATCTGCCATCATAGTCAGCCTGATTTAATTTCTTGGCAGTGCTTCCACATTACAAATGAAAATGCAATCAGCTAAGCACTGACCATACCGCTCTTTAGTGTTGCCATAGTTTCACAAAATCTCATCTCATACAAAGCCTTTTCTCTGTTCTGGTTCACTGAATTTGCACTGGGGATTCATAACTGCATAGTCCAAAGAAATGCTTTGTTGTGGAAAAAAAGAAATGGAGAAGTAGAAAGTGTTGGATCTGTACTCCTGTAGGGGTGGATGAGCCTTAAGTATTGTGGAGGAAAGCAGAGCAAGTGGATTCTGGGTAGCAATAAGACATGCCAAAGTTCTGAAGGTGAGTGCAGGAAGGTGCCAACTTAATGAGGAAGAAGAAGGAGAAGGAGGAGGAGAAGAAGGAGGAGGACGTGGAGGAGGAGAAGAAGAAGAAGTGAATTGCACCACTAAGTATTTTAGTGGCTGTTTGGGCTGAGGGGGCAGGAAGGAAGGGAGGAAGGAAGGAAGGAAAGGAAACGAACAACCAGGAATAATAATAAAAAGTAGATGGGAAATGGAATTATTAGACATGAGATAAGGGTGAATAATTGTGTGATGTGGAACAATATAGTAGACCAAACATTCTTTCTAAACAAAGATGATAGAAGGAGGAGGAACATGGCTCAGTGCTATGGATGCTTAAGGCTACTGAACTCTGTGTGTGTGTGTGTGTGTGTGTGTGTGTGTGTGTGGTGTATACTGAACTATTCATATATATAATATACCATGTATGCATATATATATCCTATATAAAAGTATATACTAGCATTTTTAAACTCATGAATTTAATCAAAGTTTGAATGTTAATTAATCGGGACAATTTGAGGTAAATATACAAGTTAAAAAATAAATATTGTGAACAATGATCAGTTTCTTTGAAAATTAGTCAGCTCCTGACATAATTTCCTTACTGTAAATGTAAGAGAATACTCCGAAATCAAATATGGTTAACAATAAAAATGTAGTAAACTGTTTGTATTTGAATGCAAAGCATTAGTTTTCCTCATAGAATAAGCATAGTAGTGAATAAGCACATTTGTCTTATATTGTTTAAAAAGACTACTGCAAAAAGACTGAATCATTCAATTTTAATCTTCTAATATTCCACTGATCTAACTCTATCTATTTATGTTCTTATTTAATAAATCTGTGAAATTAATCTTTGAAGCTGAATAAAAATTAAAAATATTACCTAATATAAAAAATTAAAGATACATTTATTATGAATACCCTTAGTTAAGAGTGATAAAATTCTTAAAAATCATTAAAATCTGGAATCAAAGCACTTTGAAACTATGCTTTCTTTTGAAAAAAAAAAAAAATTGAACTGAATCCAGTGGTAGAGGCAGGCATTAAAAAAATCAAAAGCCTTCTGGAAAAACATTCAAACTCTTCAGGCTATGGAACCTAATCACAAGTTCAAAGACATGTGGTTCATAATGGAAAGCTAGTAGGAAAAAATAAATTACGTAGTTGAACATATCAACCATCAATGTGACAGTTGGTTTTAGAGTTCACACACAAATAATAATAAAAAATACTAAAATAGTTTTTGAATCTAGAAATATGCATCAGTAAGAAAATCTTACAATAAAAAAACTTGTAATTCCAAACTGAATATTTAGCTCAATTTAACTGGAAAAAGTTTCAAGAATTTCAAAATTGAATTGTCATCTTAAAATACAGAAAGCAAAAGAAAAAAAAAGCTATGATGTTTTTCCTGCTTACTGTGTAGTTAGTATCCTTTCACTATTTTTAATAAATCACTATGATAATATATTCCATGTGTATTAACATGTTAAATATGAAGAAACAAATATTATATAAGGGAAAGTTTGTTGTCACAAGCACTTAAATTAGTCCGTTAGTAAGTAAGCCAAATCATTGCTGGTGTTCTGCTTCACCTGATTGCCATTGACCTGTCTCACATGTGGCCAGCATTTTCCTCTGCTGAGGACAGTGCTGTTTTAGGTAAAAGCATTTATTTTCAAAACATTGACTTTTTAAAAAATCTCTGTGTCAGAAAATATATTTTGAAGCTTTATAGTTCTTTACTCTTTTTTTTTCCTTACATAACAACACAAGAATTACTAATTATTGATGGCATCCAGGATAAAGTGAATGTTGCCTGAGCACGAATTTCTTTGATGGCTTTAGAAGGAAATTCAAATAGCCCTTAAATTCAGTGTCCATACTTCATTAGGTAACCGCACCATTGTTTGTGCTCAGGGTACTCTCCTGACTGCACTGATAGGATAAGGAAGCAAATAAAGATTTCATTAGGGTGCTGCCCTGTGCCCTGTGATTCCACTGATACAGCCTGGGAGTTTTGATTGGGTTTTTGTTTGTTTGTTTGTTTGTTTGTTTGTTTTGTTTTGCTTCCTTTCTTTCCTGCCAGTTAAAGAATTAAAAGACAGGAAAATTCTACAGTGCTTTAGGTAGCCATGGAGAAATCACAAACACCGAAGACTGAACTGTTGAAGTTGTCTACTGGGATGAGGAAATGCAGGCTAGCAGAAGGCACACAGCAATCCACACACTTCAGGGATCTGGGGCATTGGAGTCTTTGTAGGGTGTTGCCTCTGCTAATTTAGGGCTGGTTAGTTTGAAGACTGTAAAGTTAATTGACCCCCCCCCCAATTGTTATGTAACAGGTCCTGATCAGGCCTTGAATTTATTGAGCCAGTCTATCAGCAGGGGGCCTGCTACTGTCAGAATTGTCTACAAGGCCTTTGTTTTCAGTTGTCAGGACTTTGTTTCTAGTCTGAAGGGTGAGGAAGAAGCTGACTATCTTGGAAAATGGCCCTACCCAGCCATGGCTGGCTCCCTATCTGTGCACTGGGAAGTCTTAACTCCTAATCACTCATGTGGGAGGACATGGGAGCCTGAAACAGGAGAATGTCCAGGTGTTCTGAGCCTGTCTGAGCTACATAAAGATTTCTAGGCCAGCCTGGGTTACAATGTGAGACACTGCTTCAAAACAAACAAAAAAAATATTACAGATTAGTATTCACTACATAAGAAAACAAAAGTAAAGCTTCCAAGATGCCTGTTGTTTATTGTATCTTGCTGTGGTTAGTGGTTACATGAATGTGCATCTTACAGAAAATTCTGCAGAGAAGTCTGGTCTCAGACTACACTGCATTGGCCCTTGTGTGCTGACCCAGGGAATGCTTTCCAGAAACTTCTTTCTGAGCAAGGAATCCAGTCAGCAGCATTCTCACTTTGCCTTATCTCCATGTAGATGCATTTGAACGTCCACAAGCTTTAGCTAGGGTGGGGAGGATCTTGTCCACAGGGCTTCTCCTATCTCTATAAGAAACTAATCTCTTTAACAATTGTAGTCTTTTTCAAACTTTCTCTTTCTGAATCTTTATGACTTAAAATCTTTCTCTTTCATGTATTTCTGTCACTGTAGACATACAGAAGAGTAGTAGGCAGTAGCCATGATGCAGCTGGACTGCTATTCTGTCTTGAGATGTCCTCTGACTAAGCGGTCAATCATTACTAATGATTTCAGCCTCAGTCGGTTTTCAGAACATAAACAGAATGAAGTCAAAGTGCAATTCATATAATCTCTAGTGCAGCTCCCAAGAGTCCTTGTTCTCTCTTGAAACCTCATTATCTGAGTGTCCACTGCACATGGTGTTCTGATCTTCCACGTTTGCACTGGAAAGGCACACTCAGCTCTGCTTTCAGAAGAACAGGGATTTCCTTTTCTTTTCCTCTTCGTTTTCCTTTTTTAATTTAAATTTGAAACAAGGTTGTTTTACATGTCAATCCCAGTTCCCTCACCCTCCCATCCTCCCCTATCACCTCCAGCAAACTCCAGCCCATCCCCTTTTTGCTCCCCAGTGAGGGTGAGGCCTTCCATGGGGAGTCTTCAAAGTCTGCCTTATCATTTGGAGCAGAGCCCAGGCCCTCCCCCATGTGTCTAGACTGAGAGAGTATCCCTCTATGTGGACTGGACTTCCAAAGTCCATTCATATACTAGGGATAAATACTGATCTATTACTAGAGGCCCCATAGACTGTCCAATCCTCCTAACACCACACTCAGAGGGTCTGGGTCAGTCCTATGCTGGTTTTCCAGCTATCACTAGAGTCCACGATCTTCCCCTTGTTCAGGTCAGCTGATTCTATGGGTTTCTCCAGCCTGGTCTTGAACTCTTTGTTCATCACTAATGGGAGATGTCATTCTGTAAATATGTTTCTCTTATTGGTTAATGAATAAAGCACTGTTGGGCAATAGGAAAGCAAGTTAGGCAGCACTAGGAGACAAGGAGGAGAGAGGAAGTGGTAGGGAGGAGATTCAAGATGGAAGACGGAGAGAGCAGAATGGCAGCCCCTCTCTCCAGCAAAATAAGACCACATTGAAATTAATAGAAATGGGTTAATATTTAAGACAGAGCTAGCCGATAAGAAATTAGTAACTGGCCAACAGCTTTATAACTAATATAGTGTCTCTGTGTGTTATTTGGTGCTGGCATGGTGGTGAGTCCAGACCAGCATGGAAAAATCTACTCCTAACAATCACTCTTCCCTCTCTGTAACTGGATTCCAGGAGTTCGTCTAGTGTCTAGCT